GAGGAGGAGGAGGAGGAGGAGAAGGAGAAGGAAAAGAGCCCATGAACTGAGATGGTGAGACAAGGATAATGGACAGAGAGGCAATTTTGTCTCCAAAAACAAAGCAAGGGGCTGGAGAGAAACTCCAAAGTAAAGAGCACTGGCTGCTCTTCCAGAGGACCTGCATTCATTCCCAGTACCCACAACTATCCATGACTCCAGTTCTGAGGAACCTGACTCCCTCTTCTGGCTTCTGCAGGCACCTGGCAAGCATGGGCTGCACTGGCATGCATTCAGGCAAACACCCTATACATAGAAAATAAATCTAAAAAGAAAACCACAACTACCAACAAAAACCAAAATACCCAACAAAACTGTAATCGTCTAAAGATCAATTTGAACTGTAATGAGATTTTCAGTTCTAAAGCAAATGTTACTTCAAAACTTTCATAGTGAAATTCTTCCAAGCTCTTTTTTGTCAGGAACACAGGCTGCTTATTTGGCAGGGTCATCAGTCAGTCACTATGCTGGAGCAGTGGCCACAGCCAGTATTTAAGCTACCCCCCCCCCCCATTCTCTAAGACTACCAATCTCTGTGACATGGACAACACCCAAGGGCACCAATCCCTAACACTGGCTGCCACATAATTCATAATACAGTGTTAGCCATGTACCCAAGCAACATCTTCCCTGTCTTATCCATGAATCAGATTATTTGAAGTCGATTGTGATACTGAGGCATGCTTCATACAGATGTAAGAGGGCTGGGATTACTCCCAACAAGTGTTTACATTAAATGTACAGGTATGCCTATTGCTCTGATGGAAGACAAGAACAGAGGCAAGAAAGACAACAAATGTTGTGGTGATATGTTTGTGACAGGTTTGCTATGTAGCCAAGGCTGGCCTCAAACTCTATGTACAGGACCCTGGATGGCCTTGAACTCTCAATCTTTCTGCCACTGTCTCTGTCGTGCTGGAATTACAAGTGTGTACCTCCACCTGGCTCTCAGAGGCATAACAGAAGAAGATAAGGGACCTCAAGCTTGGTAATTAGCATTTAGAAATTGCCACGGTCTTGTCACTAGGAGTCCCACTTGGAATATCATCTACTTCTCCTTTTGTGGTATTTTACAAAAATGCATTAATTACTCACTTATGAGGAATCCAAGTCATTAGCAACAATATCTACTCCAAACAAAACTAGAAAGCAGAGGTGGAAGGAATTCTGAATGGTAAACACTTATTCTACAAGACTGTTACTTTCCTACAAGGGTCATGTAGAGCCAGGTACAAACCTTGTTCAGGCCACACTGTGCTATGAACTGGTCAGAAAATGGCCTACAGGAATATATGCTATGCAGAAATCTTGGTTTAACAATGACCTCAGAGTTGTTGACCATGATCTGAGGCTGCCAGAGCTGCCAGGAAGACAGGTGCAGTGGCAGACTGTGCAAGGAGGCACACAGCCAAAACAGCCCCAAGAGCCACACAAGCTGGGGCCCAGATCTGCATTTCTCCTTAACACTGCTATGCAGGAGGACTTACCAGAGCCAGGAAAACTGTCTAGAAAACATGTCTAACCAGTAGCAAAGGAAATATGTATTCTGGAAGAACACAGGAAGTAGGGGGTTAGGGGACAGGAAGCATGGAAGAAGTTGGGTTGACAGGTATAAAAAGAAACCTGCAAAATCCTTACTATCCCACCCTCCCTGAACCTGTCTCTTTCGCCCTCCTCCACAGCACTTATCATGTGACACGTGTATAATCTCTTGTTTATCTGTGACTGTGACCTGATTAGTATGAAAGTTCCCAGGAGTTCAGGTTTTAATCTACTGCTATGGAGATGCCTAATATGGTGCCTAGCACAATAGAAATGTTTGTTGAATAAACTCTGGATTATATAAGACTGTTAGCAGACATTTTCTCCTCTAGAAAGTGTTTGGTTTTCTGTGTACCTAAGACAATAGGAATTAACTACAGGTGCAAGCGGAAGTTGGGGCAGTTGACCTGAAGGGGAGGGAGTGTGCCCATCTGAGGGATGGTTTCTGGCAGGGGCTGCATCACACACAGCACAGAAAGCTGATCTGCATCAAGCAAAGCCAGGAGTGCTGTGCTGCTGGACAGCATGCAGAGGACAAGATGGACCCCACAGAGTGACCTGTCAGCGATGACAAGGTGTGCAGCTGTCCCTACTAGATGAACACAGAACAGTGTGCATAATTTCAAATGTAGCAAGATCCAGGATAATCACATAAAACCGAAAGAAGCAAATGGATGCTGGTCATTATTGGGGCACTATGAAATGCTCCTGGAACCTCTTATGCCAAACACCTGTCTCCCAGCCAGCAACTTCTTATTCTGGAAATTTGAGAGAAAGGAGGCAGTGGAGTAGGCTTTTGGTGGCTACATGGGGTCCCCCTGTCCTGTCCCAAGTCTCCTACCACAAAGACAGACCCCAAATCAAGGGCACCAAGGACCAAGAACCAAAGAATGACTTCTATAAAACTAGGAACCAAAGAAACCTTCCCTCAAGTCTATTTAAAACTTTTTAAAGTTTATTCATTGAGAATATCATATAGGTATACAATGTATTTGGATCACAACTGTCCTCTAACTCCTCTGGAATACCCTCACCATGTTCTCCCTTCCAACTTCATGCCCCCTGCAACAATCCCAAGTACAAAAACATTGCTACCCAAATGTGCGTGTGTGTAAGCCACCAACGGGAAGAAGGTCAACCAAATAGGGTCCATACCCCTGAAGAAAACGGATTCTCCTCAGTTAGCCAATAGCTCTTCAGGTATGGGTGGGGCTGAGGTGAGCCTCTCTCTACCTGTGCAGGAATGTCAAGTGGCTTGACCTTGTGAGGTCTGGCCAGGGATTCTGCCACTGCAGTGAGGAAGTTAATACTGTAAGCAAGTGCTACAACTAAATGCTAGCATTTTAACATGTATCGGCACACAATTCCCACATTGTCTTTAAGACGCAGCACATTTTACAATCGCAGACATCAACTTAGCTATGAGCTCAAAGTGAAATATAGCTAGAACAAAGCAAGCTTGCTGCTTCCTTGCAGTATACACTAGTGAAAATAGAACAAGGCCAATTCCATGCTCAGCTACATGAGCCACATTCAACAGCACAAAAGCTACCTGGGCACAAAAACCTGCTCACAGCCTGCTCAAGAAATGCTAAATCCGCAGTGCCAAAGAGCAGAGAGAAGAAGGAGAGTAAAGAAAGGACGGAGGCAGAGTAAGCTAAAAGTACTTTATAGAGAAGGGCATACTTCTGTATCTTACGCTTTCTTTTAGGAGACAAGAAAAAGAGAGAGTGAGAGAGTAGCTCCTGTGTTGCTGGGTGGTGGTGTTAGCTCAAGGCAGGAGTCAGAGCGGCTCAGCAGTGAACACAGACAGGCTATTCTCCTCCTTAATGAAGGTCATTATCCTACAGGCTAAGACGAAAACACCCTGTACCAGGGGCTGACAGTGTTCTGCCTGGCTCTGAACCACACAGATGACATTATGACTGTCTACACAACAACACAGTATGTGGATTCTGAATGAGAAATCTCACTTGCATTATCTTTGTGACGGTACTGTTGCTCCACCCTCTTCAGACAGAGTCCAAATTGAACCAAGTGAGATCTGACTAAGCAATGCTAGCCTCAAAAATGTCTGTAGGAAAAACTGAGCCAGGGTCTGCAAACAACCTCCTACCTCAGGCCTTCAGGCTTTGACCCATACTTGGACAGCTGAAACCTTAAGAGAAACCTCACAAGCCAGGCCTCAAAACTCACAAAAACCCAAAGATTCATCTATTTGTAGACATCTCCACTGGCTTCCTGTTTGTGTCCCCTGGATCACCAAGTTAAGCACACAGCACCACCTGCTCACAGAGACACTTGGCCAAGATGATGATGATGATGATGATAAAACAAGACAGTATATCCCAGAGGGCACCATGAATGAGTATAGCCATAAAATTGTGAAATGTCAGCACACTTTAGTGAGAGTTTTTTTCTTCAATAGTACGAATACACACCTGGGATGGGATAAGTTATATAGCACTCTTGCTACTGGCTCACTCAGAGCCTTAGCAAATCTCCCAATTCAAGAGCATATTGCTGTATAATTCATCTTATTTGGCAGTTAAACGCTCAGAAAAATAATATCCAGCATAATTAGATCCTCTGTGGAATCAAGTCTTAACTTCTAATTTATAGATCAGCTTTAATGACTTTTCCAAGCTCCTGCTATTTTTATAAAGTACAGACTCACTTCTATAGCATTCACTGGCGATATCATTCCACTACATTGCCTTTTCCATTAGTTAGATATGGCAAATACTTGGTTCACTAACTGAACGGGCAGTGATTCTATTTTATAG